AATCATAACAGTGGTGACGATGATAACGATGATAAGAATGATAATGGTGATATATTGATGAGAATGGTGTGGTGATAATGTTGTTAACGTTAGTAGCCAAAACTAACACGACGACACAGAAGAAATTTGAACGAAAAAAAAGAAAACTAAACTTAGCTGGAAAATGCGGAATAGCGTTAATTTTGGAGAAGTAACTTGGAAATTGCTTAAATTATATAATAATAACAACACTAAATCGACTGAAAAATAGTATGAAAGTATAGCGACGATGTTCTCTCCACGGCGGTATATTATGTAAAAAACATTAAATTTGGCTGATGCATTTTCCTCTGGAACAGAGAGTGTCAGTGTCTAAAGAGCTGAAGATATACATCAGAATTTGGTTATCATTTAAGCGATTCCGGAAATATACCATTAAATACAACTTTCACTGAGCTAACAATATCCCCGTAGGCTTACAGCCCTGAGAAAGATTTTCTCTGTATCACTGTGCTCTTCTTGACTATTAACGTTCATTTTCTTATTCTTTGAATCTGCATGTGACAGAAAGGACTGCTGAAAACGATGAGTGTTATAATTAGTTGTCTGAATAATTGGACAAATTAAAAAATTAGATGATTAAAATTGAGCATTTTTGCTTGCAAAATATGGTTTTTTTCAACGATTGCTCTACACAACCTGTCAAGACAATATCAGATTTATTTCCTAGCGTATTCCAAAGTTCCACAGTTGAAATGTTGTTCAAGCAGACGAACACACACAAATACAAACGCACAGACGCATACACAAAAACACGGAGAAGATTCTCGGCTAAGGCATTTTTGGGTCCTAGCATGTGTTTAAAATAAAGATAGAAATAAACAACTGCATGTAGTACCGACAAAAATTTCACTGATATCGCAACAGATTTCAGAGTGCCACTCCGCAAGCAGGAATCAATTCGTTCTCGTCTCGCAAGAGTAAGCTCGCTGCAGGCATATGGAGAGCAACTCCGAATCCACTATCAGAAAAAATTGTTGCGTTATTTTGGCGAATCGAATTCAAATTTGACACGAGTAAATTTGCAAAGTGAGATAGACGAAATGCTGAGAAACTACATGGATGTAAGTTAATTTCTTTGCAAGAATGCTTTAGAATAGTTCCATTACTCCACGAAACTCAAGAAAGCCGAAGATTTCTGAGGTTCTCGAAACTTCTGTGTTGGAATGAAGGTGAAAAACAAAAAAATAATCTGAAATGTGTGGTTTCACACTTCAAGTTTGATTTACAGCGTTTTGAATCTTTCACTATTTTTAAAAGTCAGCTTTAGGCACAGTACTATGGTGAAATTTCGATTGGCACGCCGGCACAGAACTTCACGGTTGTATTCGATACCGGCTCATCAAATTTGTGGGTCCCTTCTGTGAAATGCCCTCTGCTCGATATCGCTTGTAGTATGCTTTTACAAACACCTTTTTGCTTTTATAATACTTTAACTTTTTGAAAATTTAACAGATCACATGGAGTGCTCTTCGAATAAGTTTTGTACAGACTTAGTCGATACTCATCTGCGATTGCATCGTTCCCTTTTTTCTCGTCACTGAAGCAACTGGCAGCTTTTCCATTACTAACTTCTCGCTCTACACATTCTCTACACATTCGTTTAAGTGAATTCTTCACGGCACTGATAGCTTTTCTTGTATTTTTCTTTTTATTATATGGGAAACATCCGGTAATTCACTTTGTCCATCTGTTGCATTTCTTTCCTGCAACAAGGCAGCTGTTCTCCATGGCTCATACCGTCTATATCGCTTATATTAGACCGAGGTTTCAGTACTTCCAAGATTACACAAACTCTTAAGTACCAAGTGTTAAATATGCAAGACCTATTACTATGTGTAGTGGATAAATAAATCTTATAGTTGCGCTGGGCGTGTGATTACATCCCACATTATTGTGATTACATCCCATTGTGATTACATCCCAATAACATTGTGATTAAACATCCCAATAATGTGGGATGTAATCACACGCTAAGCGCAACTATAAAATTTATTTATCCACTACACATAGTAATAGGATCTCGAATTCAGCAATGTGTAAAAAATTAGACCAAAATTTGATGCAAATCTTTCTTTCTTCGATAAATAGTAACTCCTTCACTCGACCCATTTCTAGAATAAACCAAAATTTTAGCATATGATCTGAACGTTATATACGAAATGTGACCAGTTGCCATGAGTTACTAAAACCAAACGCACCCTACCTCACTATCGCCCCACATGACCACTGCTTGAGTCAGACTGATAGTCACTTTACCAGCACAGTGTCATAAAAAGTACAGTGTCTTTACTGTGTGCTGCCAGGGTAATTGCCTAGCCTGCTATAGGACAAGAGATTTATTCGGGATCCAATTTTGGCGTTATTTCACGACACGCAGAAAACTTTGACATGAAGTAATATTTCTTTGGATTACCACAAAAAACAATTGTTATGGAGCTATTGTATGAATTTGCAGTGCTTCATAACAAGTACAGGGCGACAGCATCAAAGACTTACAAGCCAGACGGAAGAAAAGTACAAATACAATATGGAACAGGCTCGATGAAGGGATACATTTCACTGGATACTGTCTGCGTAAGCAATTAACCTATGAATTTTATTAAGGCGACTGATTGACAAGCCCTGGTACTAGCTTAGTACCTATTATTCACAATCT